AAGTAAAATAAATAAAACAACCTAACAAACATAGTCAAACTTAAAATCGACGAACATTAACATTTATGTCGTGACCATTTAAAATATCAGACTTAATTCTCTTTTTGATACAAGAACTGGATGCATTTAAATATATCAAAAAATTATTGTTAATATGTGATGCTAAGTAGGAGAAAGACGACTGAAACTTTGCAGTTCTGTGAACAGGAATCTCGAGTCGTTGATCAACATGTCTTAAGTCTCTTATATTTATTTCATTTCTTTTAATCATTTTAACAAAAAGATATTCAGGAACATGAGTTTCTAGAATCTTTTTAATGAAATTTACGTAATGTAAGAAACGCTGTTCATTTAGCTTAAGTTCTTTTAAAAGTTTTATATATGGTGAAATATGTTGAAATCTCGGTACGTTAATAATAAATCTCACACAACTATTTTGAATTTTTTGTAGTTTGATTTTGTCATACTCCGACAGACACGGACCATAGACTTGAGTACAATAATTTAAGTTAGACAATACTATTGATTTAACTAAAATGAATTTAGTGTCCTGATCTAAAGATTGTCTGAGAGGAGCAAGCTGCTTTAGTTTAAAATAACTTGAACGGCATAATGCAGAAACATGTTGTGAAAAATTCAGACATGAATCAAGGATTACACCTAAATTTTTAACAACACTTTCACAGGGAATTTGTTGTTCGTTAATGACTAAATTAAGATGAATGCCGTTAAAGTAGAGGAACCGAATATTATGTTTTTACATTTTTTAGTGTTTAAATAAAAAGAATTGCAAGCAGTCCATTGAAAAATTTCTGCCAAATCTTCATTAATCTTAATCGGAGCTGTTGTATCTTGAGGATGAAAGCTTAAATACATTTGAATATCATCAGCGTACAAGTGCAAGGTACAGTATTTAGGCACAAACTGAATATCGGATATAAATACTGAAAACAAGAGAGGACCTAAAATCGATCCCTGTGGAACTCCTCTTTTAATGTCACGAGTGGCAGAAGTGTCTTGACTTGTGACAGAGTTTATGCGACAAACCTGTTTTCTATTGTGCAAAAAAATTATTAAACCATTTTAAGGTAGAATTAGTTACACCGTAATAAGATAATTTTTCCAACAAGCAATTAATATCGATGGAATCAAAAGCTTTAGACAGATCTAATAAAGTTAATGCAGTAACGTTTCCCCTATCCATATTACGCAAAATATCATCAACAATAGACACTAGGGCTGTAGCTGTACTGTAGCCTTGACGAAAACCAGACTGAGTCATTGGTAGGATATTTATATTTGAAAAGTACTCTTTAAGTTGTTTATACATGAGCGATTCCGAAATTAATAACATAATTGGTTGTATACTTATCGGTCGTAAGTCATTTAATTCATTAACCTTAGATTGCTTGGGAATGGGTGTCACACATGATGTTTTCCATAGACTTGGTACAATACCGTTTTCAAAGCAGATGTTAATTATATGTGTCAAAGGTGCGCATACGAAAGGTAGCGAGAGTTGTAACATCTTAGCTGATATACAATCATGACCTGTCAAAGAGGGTTTTAACTTGAGAACTACATCCCTTACAGTTTCCTGATCTACAGGCGAATATTCAAATTTGTGGTTTTCAAAAACATTTGCACGATGAAGATATTCACGAAAAGAAAATGAAGCAGAAGTTTTTGGCACAGAGTCAACAAAAAAATTGTTTATAACATTAACATCCGAAAATTCAGGTGGAATAGAATTTTTAAGCTGTTTGGTATTAATCATGGCTGTGATATGACAGAAAGTCTACTGCAAGCTGAAGAACAAATTTGGGAACGCGATGAAGAAGAGCCCGACATCAGCACTGGTCGACTTGCAGCTGAAGTTGGAGTTTCACAGTTTATGGTGCATCGTACCTTAAGAGAACTCCAATGTTCAAAAAGTACAAGGTTTGGAGCCCGCTGTATAATTTACTGCAAATGATTGTTACAGCAGTGTCGCGAACACCCTAACTTTTTAAAGTGTATTCTGTTTACGGATGAAGCAAGATTCACTCACAATGCTGTTTTCAACAACCACAACACTCACATTTGGTCCGATGAAAATCCACACGCTCGTCAAGAAGTACGATTTCAACGACGGTTTTCCATAAATGTGTGGGCCGGTATTGGCTGGATGAAACAGTTAATTTAGAAATCAACAGTGTCCAGAAACTAAATATATAAGAGTTCCAACAACAAGTGGAAGCGGCAGCCGCTACAGTTCGTGGAACTTCCAGTGGTTTTTACCTATCAACAAACATGTTGCGACGTTCTGAAGCCTGTATTTCTGGTCAAGGATAACATTTTCAACATTTCTTGTAAAAACGTAGTAGCATTCTAAGTTGCTCTTATTTTTGTTCTAATAAATAATGTAAAATCATTGAGACAAAAACCAAACCTCCATTAGAATCAAAAGTCGACCAGCATGAGGCAATAGGTACCAAAAATCGGTCGTGCTCAAGAACACCATTTGTTTCTACAACGAATGATGAGCAGTAAAAAGTCGGTTTTACTTTTAATTGAAACTGAAAGTGTTTACATTGTTTTTGTTCGAACGTTTTGCCACCTACTGTTTAAAAGGTGGATCAGTCACTTCGTATCGAGAGTGGTTCGTGGGGGTTTTGCCCCATTCGATTTTTAGTACCTATGTATTCGTACTCGAAGAAAGTTAATGTTTCTGGAGTATTAACATTCGGGGGAACGTATTTTAAAGAAAATCGTGTTGTTTAAATTGTGGCATTTAAGATTTAAGTTTACTTTTTATCTGATGACTGACGAACAAATCCGCGCGAGAGTGTGTATCAGTTCAGCATGCAGTACCAATAGATCCTCAGAAAATTTTACGAGATTAGTACAGTATGAGTTTACAATCTTTAGTTACCTCTTTTATATCACTGATGTAGATAAAGAAAAGCAAGAGCCCTAATACGGAGACATACATTTACATCTTTTGCCACCGAATGCAACGAACTACTCAGTTCTGCAGCTCCTGGATCAAGAAAATAATAAAGAATTTTAAGATTGATTTTAAAAAACTCTTAGTGATGACTGATGAAACTAATTCAAGATGAAACCTTTAATGCTTGAAATATTAATGTCTTAGACACCATCATCATGGTTCCTAAAGCTTGGGAAAAAGTTTCTAAGAAAACTATAGTTAACAAAACGAAATCCCACTGACAAATTGCATACAAAATGTTCAAGTTATCGAGAGTGGGATATCATTAGAATTCTTTGAAGACTTTGTCATGTGGACCAGGAATTAACATCACTTCATTTAACTGCTGATCAAAAGCTGAATAAGATCTTGAATTTTGCCTATCATTTATTTCACAAGCTCAGCCAGCAATAGGAATTATTGCAAACTATATAACTTTCCAGTGATCGCCAAAACCCCTTCAAAACATTTCAGTATTAAAAAGAGTGATAGAAATAAAATATACTGTTACGAAATAAACCCATACGCCACCCCGGTACGACGTCTATGGGTTTTCTAGTATGTGCAGCGATGATAGGTGACTCATCGTCGGTGACGGCGGTCGCTAAAGAAAAGCCTGGAAACGGAAGTCGCTCATTCGGGAACAGTGAGAGTAGTCCAAACAATGGGAAAAGTGGAGTCTAGTCAAATCCATTCCCGTCGGAATTATTGTGTAGGTACATTATAGCTGTGTGATTAGTTGTGTAAATTTGACTTCCTAAGAAATAAATTGATGAGTTTTACCCACGCCGATTTTAAATTACCGATCAACGTAACAACGGAGTTCCCAAACAAACCAAAATTAATATCTTTTTAAGGTTAAGTGGAATAGCCTATGGCTAGACTTCGCCTATTATTATTTAATAAAGTCCTATTATTATTATTATTATTAATAATATTATCTTTCTCAAGTGGTAACTTTTTTGTAGTCGTTTTAATTGCACTCGAGCATGCTTTGTAAAAATACATGTAGGTATGTATTTTTTTATTTTTAGTAAATTATAAATCACATAATATAGTACATGTTCTGTACGTGTTACACCAATATGCATGTACTTATAGTGTGTAGTATGTTATGAAAGTAAATTTCGACATTATCAACCATAAATAACGACGTCTGGGTGTAACGACGAATATATTTGGTCATTAAAGATTGTTATTAGATAAAAAATTGCGAAAGTTGCTTCAGTTCGATTTTAATTCAAACATTAGATTGATGACTTTTTTATTTATGCAATAATTTGCAGATATAAAATCGACTTTTATTGACAGCGAACAGACAGCAACGGATGTCCCCAAATGGCACAACGCCATTTAACAGCATGAACTGGCGACAGAATAAAACACAAAAAGTACAAAGTTTTCTGACATTCTCTAGTAAATTTAAATGTATATGTAGTTACGTACTCACGGAAAACATTTCCCACCTCATTTTGAGACTAACAGCATATCGATATGAATTTTTTTCATAATCGGTTGAAGAATTATTTGCTGAAGATTTACTTCCATGTAATTCTCTTTGAATAAAAATTCAAAAATATTTATAAACCCCAATGCGCCTTCAGCAGTTCCTTATCGCGACAAAAAGACAACTGACGGAGACAGCCTCCGAAAAAAGCTTTCCTCATTTTCGATCAAACCAGGATAACAAAATTAAACGGGCGATATTATCAGTGTTGATCTCAATTCTGTTGATTAAAAATTGATTAAAGCCAGCAACAAGCATAATTTCTGTTTTGTCGTTTTTTTTGTACTTCGTATAAAAATAACACTTGGAAATGACTCTAGTTAAAATATAAATAAATATAAAAGAAAAACGCAAACCTATGTCGATGACTGCCAATAAAATATGCACAGTCTTTCACGTTTCGGCAGAATCGGTAACACTTTCCCCTTTCCAATAACATCTAAGATTGAAGGCCCGTCCATTTTGCGCTCAACATTTCAACTTCTTCTACACACAAAAATACTACAATTTACATTTCCCCAGGAACAATATAAATTCATCTACGACACCCTCGAAGAATATGTGACGTGCGGAAACTCCTGGTTTCCAGTCAGCGAGCTGTCTCAGAGACTCAAGCAGAAATCAGCCAAGAATCCAATTACGAAACTGAACGAATATCAGAGAGAATACACGCTCATATGCAAGCAGACCCCCAGGTTCACGATTGGTGACTGCGCCGGAGGACACAGAGGTGATAATCGCAAGAAAAACAGAGATGTGCTTATTGTTCCACGTAAGTTTATGTGACGTAGACTCGATTCCGCTCTAATTATTTGTTTTGTGTGTAAACAGCCGACAATTTCCGACCATATTTGACTTCATTCCAAGGGAATAATTACACGGATTACATTAACGCCGTGTTTGTGGATGTGAGTATGATTCAGGATGCTGAAGGGGATGATTCGTAGAGAAGGGTTGGGTTTAGAGGACAATTGTTGCTTTTGCTGCTCAGTGGGCGATAAAATCGCGAGAATTGCGGAGAACGTGGGTGAAATTGTTCATTTTTTAGTCCTTTAAGAGGTATGAGGTCTCGTAATTGGCGATTGACAGTACACAGTTGTCGAAATTGTCCCCTGAAAGTATTTTCTATAGCTGAAGGCAATTTCTACGTTTCGAATTGTTTTAAAAAAGAAATTATATGACTGAAACACTGAAAATATAAATTATTCATTGAAATTTAAATTACTAAAGGAGATTTTAAAATAAAACAACCTTTATAGCAGAAAATATTTTCCGATTATGTGTTTCGATGAATAACGAGTTTTTGAAAATGTATTAACAACTTAATATCTTTATAATACGTAAAATAAACCAGCAGCTGAAGTTATTAAGCGTTGTAATCCCGGAGTCAGAAGAGAATTTTTTGGTCACAATACAAAAATGTAATTCTCTGTCTGAATACCTTCGCTCTGGGTTCTCATAATCTCATTTTAAAATATATAGCTGTTGCAAGTAGATTGAACACAGTTCAGACGGCTAAAAAATTCTGTTTTACAATTTTTTACTTATAAATCAACAGACTAGCGAAATGTTGGTCTAAGTTCATCGGTAAGATTTCAGGCACTGTCTTCAAACAACTAAACTCTAAAAAACCAACCCAAAGTTACATTTATCTGTTTATTAGTAAGCTCAAAAAGGATGGAGTCAACGTTTTATGTTCCAGTTCAATATTTAATAATCTATTCATGAAATTGACCGAAAAGTTGCACTTGATCTTGCAGATTCAGGTAATATATCAGTATAAGCCAGTTTCCATGAACAAGAGAGATAAAGTACACTTTAAGATGGGTTTCTATCACGATGTTTGCTTTATCACATAAATCTTTCGGCTCTTCACTGTTTTGTCTTATAAACCAATCAATTTAAATTTGCAAATGCAGTTGGCTGACATGGATTTGGCGGAAGGAATGAACGTGAAATTTTCTCGAGACGAATAACCTTTACGTAGCGAATTGTTTTTTAAGAAAAACGAAATCGATTATATTGTTAGGTTGAACGGGTATTTAAAATTGGCGTGGCTAAAACGCAATTTATTTCTTAGGAACTCGAATTTACACGACTTATTACACAGCTATTATTTACAAAATAATTCCGACTGGAATGGATTCGACTAGACTCTACTTCTCCCATTGTCTGGACATAACTCTGCCTGCTCCCGACGGTGGTTCCCCTTTAAAGAGCCACGCGGTCTTTCTTGAAACGCTTCCGTCACCGCTTCTAGACTTGTCTGGAGCACCTATTCGCGACTTCCGCTTCCAGGCGTTTCTCCGGCCGCCGTCATCGACAATGAGTCATCATTGGCGTACATACTAAAACCCATAGGCATCGTACCGAACCGGGGTATGAGTTTATTGCGTAACGATATCATCTCAAACCATTCAAGATTATAAATAATGGTGTCAACAGGATCGATGTAGGAAGCGACCCCAGTTGCTCAGAATCAAAGTATATATAAAAATGTACAATAGAAAGAAAGAGGAAATTATACAATCCAAAAATTATAATAGAAAAGGAAGAACACTTTCATGAAAAAATCACTCAAAAGTCAAATAACTATCCCACATACAAGCATACTATCATAAAAAAATGCAGATCCACTAACCAAAACTATTTGAGAAGCATCAGAGGTAATCCAAATAAAGAGGAAAAGTACGTCAAAAGAAATAAGTGACAACACAACAGCACTCTGTGAAACTCGAAGACAACTTAAAGTAGATCCAGACCTGAATCTTGAAGAGAGGTCAGAGTTGAACAAACTGATCAAAATGGAAATTTCAGGCACTATAATACCAAAATTGTAAAAAATAACAGGGAAATGTAGAAACCCAAAGATTTTCAAAAACGAATATTAATCGACAAGAAACATATCGCATGGAAGGATTAAATGGACAATTAAATGATAAGAAATCTTGAACTAAGTGGAAAACAACTATACATAACTCTATACAACCAAAACTTATCCAGATCCTTAATAGAAGGAAAAAAAGGAAAAAGGAAGAATTGAAATTTACAGACCCTTATCTCCTGTCGCAATTTTTTTTTTCACAAAAATATTAGCGAACAGAATGACTACTGATCCACAGTCTCGTGAACGTGAACTAACATTCATTAATTTTCTTTAAATCTTCTTTATAAACAATTATAAACAAAAAAAGAGAAAACTACGAAATTACTTTTTACAGAAATACTGTGAGACTTGCTTTGAAACATTGTGAAATGAGATCATTAAATTCTTGGAAGGAATAAACTGATAAATTCTGATTAGCTATTTAGCATTTTCTAATTTCTTAATAAGTTTAAAGCGTTTGGTAAAATTTCGTTTTTGTAAAAAAATAGTAAAATTTTGATTTTTTTCCAAAAATTTGTAAGTGCATATAAGATTAAAGTAAGCAGTAAACTACAGATATAGAACGGCATTCCTTTGCACATTTTAAATAAGATTTCCTCCTTAAAATTTTGAGGAAACTTCATCAAATTTTTGGCGGAAGATGAAAACAGAAATTTTGGTCAACATTTTACCCTTTATAGGACGTTAATTTTAATGTAGAGCAACAATTTCACAGTAATCTCTTTGGTTATTTCAAAAATTACTTTTCTAATAAGATCGCCAACTAGCAAGCAATTGATAGATGAAAGATTTAATTTTTCCAATTCTAGGATCCATGGAACATGAAAAAATATGAAAATATCCATTCTTCAAATCTATCGTAAGCTGCTGTGAGGATGTATGACATATATATTTTTTTAATAAAAATATATTTTTGTTGTAAAACGAAACATTTACAAATAATGTTTTAAATACCTTAATTAACAAACTATTGAGTTCTAGCACTCAATATTAAAATTTTTGGTTTTGTTTTAACTTTTTGTTTAACTGGCAATTTCCGACACTATTGGCCTGATAAATGTGAAATATCATGTAATAGTAATACGCAAATCAAAATTTATCTAATCGTCTCCATTTGATGACGTCATTTCAACATTTTGCTACGTAACTCCTATTTAAAATGTGCAAGACAATGCAAATCCGCCTATATTTTTAACCTAGTGTATTTACTTAGGTTTTAGGGAAAAAAATCAAAATTACCTATACAACAAATTATATGGTCAATTTTGTAGTAGTTTATTTAAGAAGGTGTTTAGATATTGCAGTGTTTGTTCGAGTACACTTATGAACAACCAAAATGTTTCAGTAAAAACATAAACACATATTTTACATTGCCAATGCGAGATTAAATGTACCACTCTTTCAGTATACTGAATAGTATTATTTTATTTAATCACTTCATGATACGATATATGTATTTGGAAAAATTATACAAGTAAATATCGTTTTAACTAAAACATCTTCAATATTTTCAAGAAAAAAAAAAGAAACTTCGCCATTTAGACCGCAGACCTCTAAACCAGCCCCTGATGACACCAAGCTCCGCTTAAACCCGTAACCACTTCATTTCTCCTCTCACAAGTCCTCCTATTATGTAAATTGTTGTTATTCTAGGGTTACACAAAGCCTAGAGAATACATAGTCACGGAATGGCCTTTAAAATCAACATGCGGAGAATTCTGGTCGCTGGTGTACGACTACGAGTGCTCTGCTGTAGTCATCCTTTGTGTTCCTCCGCATAATTCGGTAAGTAGCAACCAAAGTAGATTACAGCTTACGAATTATGTAAATGAAGACTAATGCACTATACCGAGTCTCGATTACTAATAAATTTACAATTTTTGCGCAGTACATCGCGAAACTTTGCACTTAAACATCAAAGCGGTAGCCCAGCCAGCGTTTATACATTAAATTTCTACAATAAATTTTCGTTGTGGCACTATTACCATCTATCTTTATTCCTGTTCTGGGGAGAGTACATCCATATTAACGAGCTAAATTTTCAAAGTTATAAATGCCTTCCTAGTTTAGTTTGGTCAGAATATTTCAACGGGCAGCGAATCCTTTAGGAAAATTGGAAAGTTGGGAACTAGAAATGAAATTGTTATACGGTTCGTCTTTTATTCATACTTTTTCTCTTAAAATAATGTAAATCAGTTAGTTTCACCCTTGCACCCAGTTATTTCTTATCTAGCACAAGATCGCTATGACTAAAAAATAATAATTAAAACAATGATACGTGTTGAAATGGGGATTGCTGAAGTAACCTGAAGATTTTGTTTTCTAATGCAAAGTAATTCTTCTTCAGTTGTTTGTTCCGCTTCTTGTTAATAATTTTCGTCTTGTTAATCTGGTTATAAAAGGCAAGACAGAAACTTGAACTGAAGCTAAATCCGATCTGTAGTGGTAAGCACTTTCCCAGGGGATTATAATAATTACGCTCCTCTGACACTCAATATAGAGAGAATTTCACCCAGATTATCAAATGCCTGTACCGTACTTTTAAGACCGTTTATGCATTCCTGAACACTGTCTGCCTTGAGCCGTCTCATACTTTTCCAATTTTAATGAGAATATAAATCGAGTCTTCAGTAAAACTGGAACAAAACAAGATTCATTCATTTACGTGATCTACATTTGCCGTTTTAGACTTCAACTGCATTACTTACGTTTCTCTTCTTATTTTGCGTTAATGAAACGGCTTACTACCAAAATCGGAATCCGCGGCGGCGGTTTCTGTTGAATTCCAAATGTCCGTAGATTTTATGGTTTGCAAAACAAGAAGGAGCACAAAGAGAATAACCAGATTTGTGAGGCATGTGAAAGATGTGTTGCAAGTCTATACTGGCTGTCCCAGAGTTTGTTTTACAGTCAAGGTCTTGTTTATTGCGGAAGTTTTACGGACCTTCGGTAACATCTAAAGTCCTACCGGGTTTAATAATAATAATAATAATAAGTTTTTATTTATCCAACGGGCGTAGCCTACATAGGAAATATAGTACAAAGAAAAGAAAAAAAAATCTTAATACAATAACTTACATTAAATTACAAAAATAACAAATGAATTACACATAATAACAATAAACTATAACCAACAAATGACTTAAACCATATTACAAATTACCAGACAGTGCTAATTTTGATTTAGTACCAAAAACACTTCGTGAAACGGCAAAAATGTCGGCATAATACTGAATGCTATGATATAAACGACACATTCTATATACTGGAGAATTGTTGTGTTGATTTGTTCGAGCTAGACCCAGTACAAAAGTCCTTGAGTTTCTAGCTTCGAGGCGAGGAACATTGAAATGTATTGCACTAAATAAAGAACTGTCACAAATTTCATTATGAAGAAGTCTGTATAGAAATAGTAGAGAGGGTAGATCTCGTCTACTACTAATAAGAGGACTAACTTGGAATTCGTTTAACAATTCGTTATGTGAAAATCCTTGAAACAGGACGTTTACACCGTGCTTACGATAAAATACAAATTTACAAAATTTTCACAAAGTACATCACAAAAAGAAAACATGAATAAATTTAAGTGAAATCTTTATCGGAATTTATAAAGATACAGTATTTCGTATTTCCGTTCCTTGACATATAAAAAAACAACAAAATAACTGGTATTAAGCTCTTCAAGGTAAACTAATAATGTCAATAATTTGTGAAAAAGAGGATTTGAGATATCCTAGAAATAGGTATTTGAATTAGTGATCGTGAGTCCAGAATTAAAGTGAGAAAATAGAGAAAATAGAAAATAGGTAAATTCATTCATGTCCAAGCTCTGAAGCTCATCACAGCCATGCGGTTTCCGAGCAATTGCCGGTGGCTGTCCAGGATTCCCACGTGACTCTTGATACCACCTCATAAGAAGTCGTAAAAATTCTTCAAAACACATGGAATGCAAACATATTGATTTTTTTTTGCTACAACATTTTAATCCTTAATTTAAGCTCACATATGTAGGTATATGTATTTTGTGTAGCATTATCTTTGAAAATACGCATCTTACGTTAACTGACAGTCGTTTCTTGTTTCGAACCTCAAATACAAATTACAGAAATATTACTCTTTATAAAACGTGTTTATTGCGATTCTTATTAAAATGAAATAACTCTGTGCCTCAAATATTTATCTTTTCAAACATTAACGACATGCATTGGCAGTAAAAGAAATTTTGATCTTCTTCTTTGTGTTATATCACAACAGTGGGTAGATGATATAGTTCTTAACTCTTGAGTTAGTCGAAAATTATATAACTTTCTTTGCATCTTCTGTTTTTCGTTGATTTCAAACTTTGTTTGAGCAGTGTGAATACAAACTGCATGCAATATTTGTGTTGACAAATTTTGGTTATCGTTTTTCGGAAATTATCAGTGTGATAGATAAACAAATGATCGATACACGTAAACTGAAAACCGACAATTTTCACAAGCTAGAAACATTATTAAAAATCATAAATGAAGTTAGATTTTAACAAATTCATAATTTACATGGTGAGCGACCCGAGCTTCAAAGTTGTTACCGCCCTAAAGCATTCACTGTATTTTGTACACTGCCTCACTATTTCACCCAACAGAGAGATTTGCTTAAAAAATCTGGGATATCGAGTAGTATAGTCTCAGGCTGTGGTTTATAAAACTTAAAAATGAACGTGTCAGTCTTATTTAGAATACTGCAAATGCTGTTACAATCATACCTAAGTGTATTCCTTGTGAAATTTCTAGATTCCTGGGGTAAAAACTCAAAACCACAAGTACAAATTTGTATTTAAGAATTTTATTTTTTTGATGACAACTGCTACATATAAATTAGATAAATCGAAGCGGATTCATAAACCATAATAAGTTTAGGATTGTTATTTTATAAAATTTAAATAGCATTTACCATGCAATTTTTTGTGGTGGCGGATGATCAAAAAATTTTGGCTAGCATTTTAGCGTCTAAATGATTTTAGCAACATACGTATAAAATTCTAGAACAATCGATCTGGTAGTTTCGGAGATTATCTGTCTAATGAAAATCGAGACAGACGACAGACAAACAGAAACGGGTAACTTATTTTTTATACTCTGGAGAGTCATGAAACATCGAGGAAACATAGAAGTAGCCATTCGCCGGCTAGAACCTGTTACAATGCTTCCTTAGTTTACGCACGGGAAGTAAAAATGCTATTATAGTCACCTCTAAATGTCTTCCGTCTGAAGTTTTATTTGAAACTGGAAGAAACCTGTCTATTCCTTGTTCTACATTCTACAATTCAGAAAATATAATTTAGCTTTTCAAATCTAATTTATGTTTTGTAAACACTGCTTATAACAGTGTCAGTCTACTCGCAGTTTTTTTTTATTAAAAAAAAAACTGATCTTGTAGATTCACCTCATTCAGTTCCACAACAAATACCACTCTAAAAATGCCATTAAAATCACCCTCCAGTGTCTTCCATGTGAACTTTTAGTCGAAATTGGCATAAACACAACCCTTCAGTGGCACTCATCTTAAGTGTGTCTAAAATTTAAAATATTTTAGATTTTCGTAACTTTTGAATAAAGAAAAAAACTAATCTTGTCACAGACACATCTAATTCCGTTTTCAAGAAATACAAGTCTGCAAATGATATTACAGTCGCCCCCAAGTCTCTTCCATGTGAAATATTAGTCAAAAATAGCAAAAACATATCCATTTAGTGCTACCTATTTGAGTGACCTATGCTGTTTAAATTAAAAAAACATTGGTACTACGGCTTTTCAAGCACTCTCGATGTGTACAAAAAAAAGAATGTTGTAGCAAACTCACCTCAATCCGTTTCGAATAAATATAAGTGTAAAAATGCTATTACAGTCGCCCTCACATGCTTTTGTGTGAAATTTTAATAGCAACTTACAGAAACGTATCCATTCCTTGTAACCTGTGTTGCTTATGTATGATGTTTAAAATTAAAATATAATGGTAATGTTGTTTAAAAAAATGGTTGAAGGTTATTTGGAGAGAACTTCCCTCGACTTTGAAATACAATCCAACAAATCCCACTTCTTTGAAAAATAGCAACAACAGTGTAAAAAGCAAAAAAAAACTGACTAGAGATTCCAACATGCGTGACCTTCGCGTTAAAACTCCAAATTCGCCCACTGTAACCAATAAGCCATTGAATTTCCTTGTGCAAGATTCGCTTATATTAGTATAAAAGGTCACGATATAATTTCAATTATTTGCGAAAATATGGACGCCTCCGAAAAAAACTGAAGGCGGATTCATAAGTTACAAATACAGGAATTTATTGCATAAAATTTAAATTCTACTTACTATGAAAATTTTTAAGGGCACATTTTTGGTAGGGATGATTAGGCAAATTTTGGTTAGCATTACACCATCTACTCCATATACCTAAAACACACATAAAATTTTACGACAATCGGTCCATTAGTTTCGGAGATTATCTGCCTAATAACAATCGACACAGCAATACGACAGGCAGATGGAAAGGGGAGTCCTATGTTTCTGTACTCTAGAGATCATGAAACGTCGAGAAAATATGAAAGTAACCATTCGTCGAATGAACTCTATTATAATATTTACTTCCTAGCCTATGCTCGGGAAGTAAAAAGATATTATTAATCAAAAATTTCTAACTGAAGAGAATGAAGACCAAAACAAGAAATCTCATGCAGATGTACAGTTGTATTTCCCCGATAAAGATTGCGAGTAGAGAAAAATAAGGAAAAAGAATGCGTTAAGCTGAACCTTATTACGCAATAAATATTGATGGGATGTGGGAAAACGCAACATAAAACAAAGTATTTTTCCTCTACAAGGAATTTTTGACGAAGATGAAATACTTAATTACCAAAATGACAAATTGTTTGTTATTACTAAATTGACTCAAAATTCTTTAGTGGGTATAGTTTAATTTATGAGAAGCACAATCATTGTTGTAAGATTTCTTGAAAGTAAGAAGGTAAAATTTGCTAAATAAGGTTTTTTGTCTACAGAGTACAGGAAATATCTAATAATAGTCAAATAAAAATTTACAAGATTTCATGGACATCTTTGCTCCATTCCTTCTATTTCTTAAATTTGAAAAAAAATCTCCTTTATATTATTAACGTGGTAAAATCCATAACACATTAGTATCGAGGTTGATAACCTGCCAAATATCCGCCTCCATCAATCATCGTCACCATCTTTTCTTTTCGGTACTCGGACAAAGATTCCATCGTCGCATTTCTTCCACCTGCTGAAAGTTTACTCACGAGTCATAATCGTTAACGACCTAAAATCAATTAAAACAAAACTTCCTGCTTAAGTTCTAAGCTTCAAAACTGAAACCCGAAGCCCTTCATCCAAAATATGGCTTTTATAACTTCACGAGTTTGTATTCTAATTGATAAAGCCCTGCCTGTACGAAAAATAACTCAAACTCCGGATTCCGAGCATTTAATACACTTTCATGACCAACTGTTTATCTTTTATCTCATCATCTCATCATTCTCCAAACTAACAGCGCAATAAATTTCGCACGTCTCTTCTATTAGCACAGCATTTTTCAGTAAACAAATAATCCACGAGAATAAATAGCCTCGGTATGCATGCCCTAAATTCCGCTAAATCGCTCGAATGGTGCAGGTAACACCTCACAGTGGGACGAAGTCAAAACTATATGGCCAAAATTTAGAATCACTTCATGAAATCAATTGCATTGATTTAATTTTAAAACACAGTATTTTTATAAGTCACCGCATACACACAAAATGATTTCTAAGCTGACAAAATTTGCAATACTTTAAAAATGTTTTATTTAATGTAAAGTACAAACTATAAGTAAAAGGTAAGTAATGACTGAGTAGGAATAATGTCCATAATATGTGTTTAGTTAATACGAAGCTGAGGAGACTGAAATTACTTATTTACCACCTATTCGTATAATGCTATTGAAAAGTAAACAAAAATAAAAATGAAAAATGTGTGCGCCTTAGATAATAATCTAAACAGTTTTGAAACGTACTCGTACAACTAATAGTAAATAATGCCTCAAATATCTGGTCACCTTATTCTTCACAATTTTGGCCTGGTATTTGCAGCTTTGTCCCACTGTGCACCGGCCCGACAGAATTCCTATCAAACCCTGATCTACAATGACTTTGGTAACGGCGAGTACATGCCAAAACCATAAGCACTCAATAATAGAACTTTGTTCATGACACCTTAATAGATGAGAATGTACGTCGAAATTTCCGCTTGTCCGCATGCATTATATTATACTAGATGCTACGTGATTTAACTTTCAATTATGCAGCTGAAACATGAGAGGTTTGCTTGGAACTCTTTTGTATGACCGCGTGACATGTTACGCTTGCTTTCGCACTTAATCAGATTATCGACGATTTAATCGCTCTTGAAACTCCTACAGAGTGGAACATAATTTCCATTTTTTAAAGATCATAAAAACAATTGAGTAACGTGTTGGGCGTGACAGCTGCCAATCAGTGGTAAATTAAGCTTTATGTGGGCGCTAGACCACTAGAAAACACGCATCTTCAATAAGGGCACAATTTAGTTTGATTCAAATCATAATCAGTCATGTGAGACAAAACAGGCATTTAAATGTTTAAAATAAACTCATATACTGAACAATTTTTTGGCTTCTGCCTGCACGCACAAGATTTTTTTAATCTAAGAAACCAGAACACGTATATCTATTTACGTAGATGTACTTACCTTGAATCAAACTCAACTGCTCCGAACTTTTTCTAAATACAATTAATTAATCCTCACACGGAGTCATGATGCGTGCACATTCTTCAGTGCAGCCAACTTATGTCCAGGGCTCCAACACCGCGGAGTAACCCTTATGCGTGCAAGCTTTGGACTGTGAACGTCAAGGCCGGAAATTTACGTTGACGGTTAATGTTATGAAAATTTGCTTTAAAGTTTACCGTCACCCTTGCAATAAATTTACAACTATGGGTTAATCAAACATCGCCTATAAACCACCAAATCACTAAATATAAGTGACCATTAGCGCTCCCAGAATTTACTCCCATGGATGCGAGTCCTGCTTATGACCACCCTAAAAACACAAACAGTGTTGCAATCTTATTTGAATGACAGAGCTTCGTTAATTTCACAACTAGTCTGTCAGTTGTTTAGAATTATTATATATCTAGTTTGCCGTACAATTCAAATTTTATAATAAAGCATTTTAGACACTTATCATGGATATAAAACCCTGCACCAGGAGTGTGTATTTTATTTATAGTAGACCAAAAGCTATAAGGTTATAGGGCCATCATAAAATTATCCCATTCTGTTTAAGTTAAGTTGTTTACAATAGAAAAGGTTTTAGGGTCGTAAATAACGTATCCACTGCAGCTCGACCGGCTGTTGTTGTTTCATTCAGGGGCGGCTTTCACTAAATACGAGTATGTAATTCGACCACTCCATTATTTCTTTACTACCTGCAGCCGCTGAGGGTTCCGAAATAACCACTCGCTTTGAAAGCCGAACCTGTTAAATGTGAGCAAGAAATGTTTAGAAGACGATTTATTGCCAACCGGTAAGCTTAGTGCGAACCACACAAACGGGGTATTTATTTGCGGTCAACTACTTTTATGATGGTCATATAACCTTATAACTTTTGGACTAGTATACATAACAGAGTGTTTGGGATCTAAATGGTATCCTTTTTCAATCAAAAGAAACATCAAATTGTCATTCTACAAGCTTTAAACAACTTAATAACTATTTAACTTAGCGACTTCTTATTACTTTTACGGAGATAAATGATACCAAACACATGTAACTGTGGGTGTACTTTCTCTTTTAAACCACGCTGACCCTTAACAAATTCAATACAGTAAATCAGAACTGTTTCTCGACTTTTCGCCCTTGAAGGAATAGAACATAATTTATACAACCACACTAAGGAACCAGTCTTACCACTACCTGTAACCCCAAGATACAAGGATACAACACACATTTTTACATCACATCCGTTTTTCCATGAGACACTTTTAGCCATAATTATGTTCCACCTGTCATTAACTACGTTTCGATTAAAAATAGGTTCTGTCGCAGCAACAATTCCCGTCATTTTGGCCAGAAGGACGAACTCCTAAAAAATATGGACCGGTTTTTACCATAGACCATATCTCGCACAATCACTACACCAATATCAAAACATGGGTTTTTCGAATCAACAAGAAGGTTTGTTCATTTCATAATTCTGTTTCGTTTGGTAAATTTTGTTTCTTTCAGATCGTCTCGCTTACAGAATTGATGGCAGGGGTGAAGGCACCTCCAAAAACCGTCCAGTTGTTCCAACTAACCTGCTGGCCTATGGGGCACAAAGTGCCTACTTCGACCAACTCTTTGGTAGAGCTTATGAACATGGTGGAAAGGTGGAGGCAGCGGACTGAATATGGACCTGTGTGCGTCGTGTCGCCGTAAGTTTAACGTTAAGCCTGGCGTCCGGTTCGGTTTCGCCCTATACTATATACCTATACTGAAAATATCGTCGTGGTTTCCGGAGTTGCATTTTAAAAATACGAGATATATCGCTTTAAAAAAAATATATTTCGAATTAACAAACTTCAGTCTAGGGGACCTCCATATTTATATAAATATCTAGTATGCATTTTTACAAAAAAAAATTCTAAAGTTGACCAACTTTTACATCACACTTTAACCGGCACATTGATGCATTTTTTGACGAAGTGCTGAAGTTGTTTGCATTCTGAGATAGGAGTTCCCCTGGGGAAAAGTGTCAGCTTTATTTTGATACCATTTATAATCCTAAAAAATCCACGACTGAGGTAAATAACTCGCGAAAAGTCAGATTCTATTGAAACGAGAAATCGGCATTAAACTAGCTGTGATGCGGTAGCAGAATAAAGATTTACTTAGATTCTGATTTGGTTGCAGACTTCAGTATTTTTAAAATGCAACTCCGGAAACTACGACGTTTTCAATGTATTTAGTATTGGGCGAAACCGAACCAGACGCCAGCCTTAACATTACATATAAAAAATATGGATGGCGGATGTGTTAAAGTGCAGCGCAAACAGCGTAATTGCCATTTAATATCATAATGTTTGCACATTTAATTCTGAAGCAACTCGATCTTGAAATCGGCTCTCTTCCCCCTGATCGAGAGAGATGGTGATGGGAGCCGTAGGTGGGATATAGATTGGGAAGTAATCAGTAAGCTTAGCCTGAGCGATTGCTAACAATGATTAATTATTTTTTTGGAGAACCAACGTAATTATTAAAGTACTTTTTTACGGTTGTTTAGAGATGGGCGAAGCCGATGTGGCATTTACTGTGCTGCAAATGCCTGCATCGAGCAAGTCATCCAGCACGGCGAAGTCGATATTTTCCAGGCTGTCAGGACCGTTAGAAGACACAGACCTCAACTGATTGAAAATATCGTGAGTTTCTTTATTGTATCCAATCAATAAATCTGATTACGGCTTTTTGCAGACGGAATACAAATACTGTTACGATGTGGTACTCCATTACGTCCTCCATTACTTACAAAAAGACTTGGAAGAGATCAAGATCAAGTCTAAAAATTAAGCTTCAGACAAGTCAACAATTCGAGGCCAAATAAACTGTGAAATGTAAACGTAAGGAGAATATTTTGAATAAAAGTAAACCGCTATGTATATTTTTGTTACTTTGCCTTAGATTACTAAATTTATTGTATTGTATATTAAACTCTGTTAATAAAGGAAATGTTGTGTTATAATTTTTAAAATAAAAGTAAACGATGATGTAATGAAATAGTTTAATAGTCTAACAGTTTAATTTACAGTTGAACAATGAACCTCTTTACACCTCTATAACATCTATATTAACAGATATTAAATTAAAATTGGTACCTATAATACATTTTGGAATAGTTTATAATAAAAATGAGCTTAAAACCAAATTAACATCTTGGTAATTATTTACAAAGTATTTACAACAACTCAATACTGCGTTTCAAACCAATATCCGGGATACAAATTCAAACCTCTTTAAAATCTAATATTGTCAAGTTCTAATAAGCAGTGGCCCAGTATTGCACAAATGCATATAAAATTTACTTTTTTACATATACATACAATTCAATTCAACAGCCCTACTTTAATATAGATGCGCTTGGACAAAATTTTGTACACGAGGTACTGCGGAAACAAAAAATAGAATGTTGTAATTCTAATAAAACAAAAAACTAGTATACGTACAATAATGGAATTTAAACTTTTGATTGTTCAATCATGTCCACATTTATTTTATAATATACATACGGATAATACTCTGACTGGCCAAAGCCTAAGCCCGGAATGTCGACACTCTGAAAAACAAACAGTAGAAATGGTCCAAAAGACTTACCCTTTCACATATTAAAGATCCACCGACACCACAAAATACTTATAGTGTTTCCACCATTTAATTTTTTTCACTGATAGATCTCCACCAAATTCAAATGATTCAGGATTCTTATTTCAACAACTTTATAAATTTCTTTCATTTATTCCAGTATAAGTATAGTTACATATCACTAACAAAATATGTAGAAAGGTTATTCAAAGACAAAAAATATGGAGAAAGTTCATGCAATTTGAAGTGAGACAAACGTTAGAATATAAATCAATGGGCAAAAGAATAATAAGAGACCTGAAAACAACTGTAACAAAATGTAACAAAAGAACATAAATACGTGTGACTAATTGGGGAGAGAAGCAAATACTAGGCTACAAAATGCAGCCAGGTCTTGTGCTCCACTAGGAACTGTAGGTCAAAAGAGATAAGCAGGCACAGAAATTTTTGGGTAAAATTTCTTCATCAACTGTGTAACTATCACAGAGAATGTCCTTAGCAGATATGTAATTCAAGGTTCATAGTTTTAACTCTAAGAATCATCATTTGAATTTCCAAAACCCAATATTCTACAATATCACTTTTAATTCAAATGATTAGCATTTTTTTCTACTTAATTTGACATCTTGTATGTAAACACCCGTAGATTCATATCGGTACTAAGTTATGACAACTAAACAAACATACGTTAGTATGTAAATATATAAATACCATCTTTATAATTCCGTACATGGTATATGGTACATTTGTATAGTAAAGATGCTTTTTCAACACTGTAGTACATACGCTGACTTACAATTGAACCGAACTTGGTTAACTAACTTTCAATAATAATAATAATTACCGCCAGTTAAAAACAAATTGTATATAAAAACCACAGGTGGATCTTTAAAATGTGAAAACAATATAGGAACAACTTACATCAGTATTGCCACCAGAAAGCGCAGCGCTACTATCTAGATGTCCATACAGCTGGTTCAGGACGTCCCTCAGGCGCTTCATGGTCTTCTTGTGCGGATGTATAAGAATAGCTTGGAAATTGACAGGCAACCCGTATCTATAAACCCACATCAATCGCTCTCCTCACACCCCACAACCCTACTCACCTCAACACGGACTCCACGAACACTCTTAAGGCCTTCACGTGAATCCAGGCACAGAAACATTCGCTAAAATTGACTTTCAACCATCTCACCAATGGGCCCTGAAAAATCGCCGCGATATTACACGAACTTTGGATGAGTTTCCTCACTAACAAATTGCTTCTTCTTGTCGGTGACGAGTTTGGTAATCTCGTTTTTGCCCGCCGCGAGCTCCTCCTCGTTGTACGTGAAATCGCGAACGATGAATTTTCTTTCACGGGCGTGCAGTTTGAACTCTTCCACCACCTTTTTGAACAAAGAGACGGTGTACAATCCGTACTCGTTGTCTTGAGTGATGAGTTGACTGGAACGAGGCACTATCATGTCGGTGATTTTCTCGTAATTTTGCTGCCATTCATGGAACGAGGCCCTGAAATTGCATCGTTGATACGTGTGACGCGCGGGTCATTCGCACAGTAAATTCGATCATTAGGAATGTGTCATGGGAAAACGTATAAAACTTTCAAGTTGTGTTCGATATAACCAGAAAAGTGTATAAGCAGTATTTTTGCAATATACTCTAATGGTTCCATTTCCGCTTAGACACCTTTAAAGCTAAAAATTGTGTAGCTCATGACGTCATTTTCTTCATTAACTGGGTGTTCAATTTATAACTTACCGAAGTGATATTTGCATTTGTTTAAACAGAATTTAAAATTATAATAACTTCGTTATCCCTTCTCATGACATCAAAACAACAATGTTTCTATATAAACGAGAACAAAACCATTACCTCCTTTTTTTACTGAAAAATACTAATCGATTTTTTTAATACCTGCAGTTCCAAAAGTTGAACAACAAATTATCACTTAACTTTCTTGGGAGTACAAAGATCAATTCAGCTATTAAAACAAACAGCACTGGTTTAAACTAAGAGAAATAAAACCAAAATCAAACAATTCAATACGCAAAAAGTTTGATTGACGAAAACGTAATTAAAATCAACTACGTCGAAATACATCTACGTCAAATGTGACATCAACAGCGGAAGAAACAGCGGGAGATTTCGGTCTACGTCAAATTTTAACAATATTCATCTTGAAGGGACGAATTTTAAATCCTTGTTTCTTTTATTTTTCCTATCTAACATGTGACAACTGAAGTTGTTTTTTATATCTAAAAACCACACAAATATTGTAGTATTCTGTTTTAAACACAATTATTCAAGCCTCATAACACCTTTGATGGAAACAAATCAAATAATACGATTCTTTTTTTCGATTTTTTTTGAAGTTTAAACCTTCAGGAATTTTCAAAAAATTACCACTTCATTCTCTTCGAGTTTAGAGTAAATTGTGAGAAACAAAACCGGAGACATGCAATCCACCTGATATTTATTATACCAGTTTATTCAGGCAATTATAAAAAAAAGTATAAAGATCAATGGACCCAATTAAATGAGATAGTATGTCCTTTTGTTTCGTTCACAAAAATAGACAACAGTTCCTGATTTGTTTCATTTGGTATTTTCTTTCTTTTTACCAAAATATTCAAGTCTAAGAAACTTTGACAGATAAAAATCAAATTTATTATCACATGTACTTTGTAATACTTCGGAAGCGAAAAGAATGCATGTTTTTGGAATTCGAGAATTATATTTTAGTAAGTTTTTGCTTCCCGAACGTAAACTAAAGAAGTATTGTAATCGAGTCCATCGGCCGACTTCCTAGTTTTATGCGTCCTCGACCTTTCATGACCCCTAAAGTACGAAGAAATAGGTTCCCCTTTCTGTCCGGATTTTTGTTAGACAGATCATTTCTGAAACTACTGGACTGAGTGTTGTCAAATTTTGTATATACGTATATTAGGAATATTATGTAAATGGTAAAACGCTAGCCAAAATTTGACTATTCATCCCCACCATCAACGGGCTAACGTTATATCCAAAATTTACAATAGTCCTGCACTCTTGTGGTGTATGAATCCGGTAGTTTTTTCAATAGACATCCAGATTTTTCGAAAAAAATTCAAAATTTTATAACAATATTTTGCAATTTAACTTTAAAACTGGAAAACTGAATGCTCTGATAGCTTGCAAACGTTTTAAGGTTATGGTATTCATGGTAACTTGTTAAACAAAATTTATTCGTTTATTCCCTTCCCCAAAAATTGATGACGTCATCTCAAAATTTTGCCGAATGAATTCTCTCTGAAATATGCAAAATATTATGACTTTGAATTTGTGGTTTATCAACGCACTCATAGTTTTTAGAGTTACTTATATAGGGTGACTCAGAAAAATTAATTAACGAGTCAATTTATTTTATTGATTAAATCAGAAACAGCACAGCCGAGTGCTCTGAAATCTTGCATCGTAAGCATGGCAAATTTTTGAACCAAATATGTCTGTTTATTCTCCCCAAAAAATGACAATGTAATCTCAAAATTTTGCGGAATAAATCCTATCTAAAATGTGCAAAATATGATGAGTCCATACTTGTGATTTATCAATTCATTAATATTTTTGAGAATTGCTTATAAAGTGTGACTAAAACAATTAATGAATTAATCAATTTATTTTATTCATTAAATCAGGAACGGCTTGCTCCATTTTCCCGAAAATTTGGGAGTACGATACTCTTCTTATTAGTATTATACTACACTGCACGTATCCAAACTGATATACGTGTCCTTACAAAACTGTTAATAACGTCATTATAAAAGTTTGTAAAGGAAAAACTGGCATTCGAACTCGCGCATAGCAAGTTGGTCAAATTAAACGCCTTAAATCACCCGGACACCACATACTTCGTACGTACCCGTGAAGTTGGTAACGTGAAACACGTGACAAATATTGCACAAACATTTTTGTAAAGTACTCGTGATAAAAAAAATCAAGGCTGATTCATAAACTACAAATACAGGAGTACGTTATTTTATAGAGTAATTACTGAGCAAAATGTTGTCGTGACGTCATCAAATTATTGATGGGGATAATGAGACAAAATTTAATTACCGTTTTGCCCTCTACATGATATTCCTAACATACATTTAAAATTTGATAACAATCGGTCCGATTGTTCCGAAAAATTTGTCTAATAAAAATCGTATAGACGGCAGACGATAGACAGACAGTCGGAAACGTGAGACCTATTTTCTCGTACTCTAGGGGTTATGAAACGTCGATACAAGATGAAAGTAGCGATTCCCCGTATGGACCCTATTACAAACTTCCCTTGCTTACGTTCGGGAATTAAAAAATTCAAGAAAACTTGCTTATATGATCAATTTATTGGTTTTATCATGAACCTGTTTACTCATGTTCCGTTTTCTAAACAATTCACAACCACTAGACACACTTTTCAAAATTCGCGGGTTTTGATTTTGTCTTTCGAAGGAATTTTAGAGAAACATGGCCATGATAATGACATTTTAAAACATTTTAAATTTGTTTGGTAATTTATTAATTACAGAGAATTTTTTCTATAATGTGTATTGAACACATTACCATTTCTACCATTATGATAAAAAAAGTATAATGATAAAATACAAAACTGAATGTTAAATGAAAACACTGCTAAAAATACGAAATATTTTGCAAAAATAATAGCTTTTAAATTTTAAATAACAAAGTGACTACGAAACAACTATTTTTTTGCTTAGTACGAGATTTTTAAAGATTATTTCAAAACCTTAAAAATATATATACACCAAAACATAACTTACCTTCAACAGGAAAATTAGAAAAAATAATTATTATGCAGATGTTATGTTAATAACGATTGGAAACGGAAGTGCACCTCTGATTGATGTACTGATATAGTCTCTTACAATGAATCAACTCAATCATTATTCTGTAGTAACGGAATATTAAACTGACATTATTGTCCACTGGACGATCGGTTATTCTACGTATAGGTATTTTTGATCTCAATGTCAACTAAGGAGTGTTCATTTTATTAAACGGACACCTTTAAAGGAACGCCATTTTTCTAATTTTTAATCTAAATTATTCTAGTTTTTATATATGAAAGCTTTAAGTTGTATCTATTAAATGCCATTTTTGTTTTCAAAATAACGTTATTTCTTTTTAAAATGAAGCGAATCTCCATTGGGGCAAGAAAATTATTTTTGCAAAAGTGATGCTACGAAAAATTTCCGTTGGGGGGACTGCCTAAAATAACTAAGTGTTCAAAATCAGCAGTGTTCCAAATAATCAAAAAGTTTGGGGAGTTTAATACTTTAGAAGATTTGCTCAAATCCAGACCGAGAAAAGGCCCGCTTAACGAAAATATTGAGGAAAACATCATTAAACTGCTAAAATTAACGAAATGTATGTCTGTGCGGGAAATACCGAAGAAGCAAGGGGTTACCGTAGGTACTGTCCAAAATATAAAGACTCGGAATAACATTAGAACGTATTAAAGCAAAAAATTCCAAAAAGAAGCGAAAAGCAGCGCATACAGTTTCAAAAAAAAAAGCAGGAAGTTATAAACAATTTTGGTCAGGAACAAAAATCGTTGTGTTTTGATGGACAACGAAACGAAGGTTAAAATGGACTGCAATACACTACCCGGCTCCCAGTTTTATAATGCAGTCGTAGGGGAAGATGTCCTCGATGACATAAAAACAAAAAAAATTGAAAAGTTTGGGAAAAAAGTCTTAGTGTGGCAACCGATTTGTTCTTGTGGGCTAAAAAGTTTTAGTTTTTTTTTACGATTGGAACAATTGGGGGCGATGATTACAGGAAAGAATGTATAAAAACGCGATTATCGCCTGTTTATCGCAAACATCATATCCCTCCATCGTTTTGGCCAAATTTGGCTTCGGTTCACTACGCTGGTGCCAATCAGGAGCTTCTTAATGCCAATAATGTATAGTTTTTAAAAAAGGAAGATAAACCACCCAACTGTCCTGAGCTTCGTCCACTTGAGCGATAATGGGCAAATATGAAAGCAGTGTTAAGAAAAGATGGCCGAACAACATCATGACTTGGAGAATTTAAAAAAATGTGGCCTCCTGCTACGAAGAAAATCACAAACAAACCTGTGCAAAGAGTGATTCGCGGTGTTCGCGCAATAGTTAGAAAATTTTATAGTTTCTGAATATAACTGATTAGAGAATAAGAATAATTATTTCATTTAACATTGTTAAACATGTTTATAACAAAAAAAATTAAATTAGCCCAAAGCACTCGAATTAGTAGCAATTTTTCAGTGTCCGCTTTATAAAATGAACATTCCTTATTGAATTTTTACAGATATTTGTAATAATTTGAATGCAACACAATTATATTATAATTCTTATAATTATAAACACTTACCAATCGTTCGAGCCAACGAATCTGAAAACACTTCAATACAAAGAAAAGAAATGACGCACGAACTCCATAGTATCAAATTTTATGAATTATCTTAAATGACTGAAAATATCGGGTCATCATTTAAATCTAGCATCGTGGACATGAATACAAATAAACTAAGTGACTATTAATGTTTGTGGCTTTTTTTGCCAGGTTGGTAACATATTTAAAATTTTTCGATGGCATACCTGATGTCAAATTCAAATTTTGGACACATATTCAGTAGCTGAATCTTCTTATTGATTTTTAGGCTAACATTGTTTCCAATAGTTCAGAATTGTAAACCCAAAAATTTGCTTCAATCATTGTGTTAATAATAGTCCTAAAGGTCACACAAAAATTTCCTAATGAAAACGAAATACCGTCCGTTTTATTTTCCTTAGACTGATTTAACTTTTAAGTCGTGATCACGATATTTTAAAATATTCATAATAAACTAAGATCGTGTTGCAGAATCTCTCACATACGATTTTCGTCTGTAAGTTAAGTGATCACCCGATATTATAGTTTCATTAATAATTAAATTATGTTGACTTTCCCGACCGTTACTTTGCGATGATCGAGTTTACTGTGAACAACCACCAAAAACCTCTTCCTTTATATTACTTTGGCACTATGACCAAAAGCGTCGTCAAATACTCCGAATCCAAGATGAAGTGTTCCTTCTTTACCAGATCGGCCAAATTGCGAGTTAACAAGCTCCCGCTGCGGTATTTCGAATAAGAAAAAAAATCTCAATCGTTTTATTATCTTACGTTTGTTTCTTCTCCAAGCTCTGCAAGTTGCCCTTCAGATTGTTGTAAGCTGTCGATTTGGTTTTCAGATCGGAATCGATCTGGCCGACCTGTTTGCTGATAATATCAGCGATGTTCCGGAGGGACTGTTTGATGGGATATTTGGCGATGTCCCATTGGAAACGCGTGATGTAACTTGGCAAATCGGCTAAAAGGAGACAAGAGAAATACACAATAAACGCTTTTAGCTCACGGCAGGACAACACCTAACGATAGTCGACATAAAATCTTCGTCAGAGAAAACTCTTACATTAGATGATGATCGAGAAAATTGGAAAGTGTTGCGCAAATCAAAAACTATCGCAGCAAATAATGTACAGCGAAAATTACATCAAGCAGCTTTCGGTTTGCGTTGTTTACGAACTCATGGCGGGGAATTAAAATGAATTTATCGAATGTTTAATTGAGTGGATATTATGTACAAACTTAGTTGAATATACACAATTACACATCGACTACATTATGTGGTATTAAAACAAATCGATAAATCAATATGGAATAAAAAAATAGGAGGTTTGTAATTAAATTAAATTACAATTCTCGTGCAGGATTGTGGTAGTTGTTCCGGAATATTTCCGGTGCTCCTATACGCAAAAACCGAATGTAATCATGCAAAACTCTTTGTGAGCTATTATAACTACTATAAAAAAAATAAAGGGTTTTTTTGGTTCATACTCAATGCAAAAGCTATGATTTTGACAAATTTACATTCTAATCAAACGAAATAAGACAGTTGATTTCTCATCTTTCAATGGTGAGCGTATACGTTTTGCTGTTAAGTTGGATACTATTAAATTTAAACGAGTTTGATTTTTATCTTAATAAGAACATTTCAAATGTTGTGCTTTATGAAAACTGCAATGAAAATATTGTATAGGACATTATTGTAATATCAGTTTAAACCAATTTTTCTCAAAATAATCATTTAAGTAATAAAAACCTATAACAATCAAAAGCGTTATCTTAAACTACGTTCATAGAATATTTATTACGCTTATTAATTCGCTGCCAGCAAATGTCGGTTTTTCAGATGCAGGTTATTGGTAAAATCTCGTTAACTTATTCTTTTAAGGTTTAAGCGTTTGCTGCATAGTTCTCTACAAGACTAGAGTCTTACGTCGGAAAGGCAACAGTTTTTATTCTTTAAGTGTAATGCATTGTTTTTCTTTGCATTTGCTGATCGCCTTCGAATTTCAGTGTGACTTTCTTAAAAGCAATCTGTTCTATATTTCGTTATAATAATTTAAAATTGCAAAAACCAAAAACAATCTTCCATCCTATTCCTATTTTACAAGCTTCCAGAACCTTAAAGGTTTGAAAAACTTGAGCGTAATTAACTTCGGTTATTAAATGCCATCGGTTGAACACACATTTAGCTAAAAATTTTCGCAATACCTTTTCCTGATTGGCTACTGTGGGTCCAATTGACAAAGTAGCGTTTCGAGAAGGATCAAAATAACAAAATGTGAGATAAATAACAAAATAAATATAAACTGAACAAAAGCAAGAAAAAAAGTATGTTACATTATTTTCAGAAAAATTCAACTGAAACTCAAAAATTATAGAATACATTGATGTTGATGCATCAGTACGACTAAAGTTTACCTCCAAAAAAAAAAAAACTGAACTGAACCTTCCAAATTATCCATTAAAAAAAATAACAATTTAAAAAAAATGGTCAAAGGTTACTTCGACAGAACTTCCCTTTGAAGTACAATCCAACCAATTCTGCCTCTTTGAAAAATTATACAAAATTTTTGTTTTCTGATAACCTTTATACTTATATTAAAAACCAGTGGTGTAAATAGCACCTCGAGCCCTGTGCGCCGCGGGAGCGCAAATTCCGAGGGGGTGCCGTCCGCAGACATACGGACAATATGAAATATATTCAAAGCAAATAACCAATGAAAAAGCGTGTATTATTATCAGTGTACATGTTTAAGTTGGATTATTTATGTATACACATCGAAAGAATGTCATGTAGAAATGTGAAAACGCAGGACTAAAATGATTAATTATCCCACAATGGAACAAAATATGTAGGTATTAAAAGAAACTAAAATTTGATTCATTTTGTCTTCAACGCAGAAGAGAGGATCGATTAATTAAGTAAGCATACTCGTTTTTTTTTTGTCCAAAAAGTATACCTAGATAATAGCAGGATAGGACAAGAACAAAAAAAAAACCCGTGCTGGAATTGAACGTCTGCTGTTTGTGTGACGCGTCCTAACGCAGATGCGACCAGCCCTTAGCCATTGCACCTCTGAAACAAGTTCGCTTATACTCGTAGAAAAGGTTGATGTACAATTTCGATTTGTTTTGCAAAAATTAGAATACCTCCGATAAAATTTGAAGACAGATTCATAAAGAACAAGTGCACGAATATGTTATCTTTTAAAACTTAAACCTTATTTATTATGAAAAATTTAAGACGATGTCATTATCCACATTTTGGTTAGCATTTAACCATCTACATGACATTTCTAATATACATACAAAATTTGACAACAATCGGTTCAGCAGTTTCGGAGATTACGTGTTTAATAGAAATGGATATAGACAGACAGATAGACGGAAACGGGAGATTACTTTTTTCGTCTTCTAGAGTGTAGAGGTCATGAAACGTCGAGAAAATATAAATGTGGTCATTCGTCCGATGGACTCGAATAATAACTACACTTCCTTAGCTTATGCTCGAGAAGTAATTATGCAAGTAAGATGTTACATCAACAAATCTCAAATTAACTCGGCAAAAACTAGTACCGATTTTTTTTTATTTGAAACTAGGAGCATAAAGGCAGTCAATTATTTCATAAAGAAAACTAAAACTTTAATACGCTTAGCTAACACAGAAAAATATCCCATTATCAACACGGACCACTGGGACTTGAAAAAATAATTAGAATTACATTACGTTTTTCATATAAAATCAATTTCTCGGCCAGTACAACTTAAAAAATATTCACAGGGGGGCAGATGATAAGCAAAAACCGCAAAGAAAAGAATTCAATTAGATTTTGATTCGCTACAACTGCAAAACCGATGGTTGCTGACAACGAAAGTAGTATGTCAAACTCTGATGCGTAAAAATATTGAAGACAATGTTATTGGGACATCCTAAAAACTGGAAGTTTTTGTTAGTATATTTTCTGACCTGACCTGACCCTATTTTTCTCTCTTCATCTTTCTACGCCAGACCGTTGAAAATCTTAATACGTAAATAATTGTGTATAATAAAAACTAGAAACAAGTCAAAGCAGCTGCAACTTCCCTCTTATATTAATTGTTATTGTGAGAAAATTGCTATACTTTTTCAAACCTCCGATTGGTGGTTTTTCGTGTAGTTTATAGTTCCCACATTTACGGAATTACGTCGACCATTTTATCATAATTCGATAAATATATAAAAAGCCACTACTGCACTGTTGCCAAATAATTTTGAAAATTATCATACATATTTCTTACAAAAAAAACACGAACATGTTTGCAGACAAAAAAATATACAGCGTGTTATTGAAAGGTACGTACAAAATAAAATCGGCAATTAATCTCGAAGTATGGGTGCTAAAATTAAAAAAAAAGTTCAGGTTAAAGTGTTCTGCTTTTAGAGATAAAAATTATTAAAATTTATGTCCAAATTCGTTGTACGCCTTTGATAAAAAGTCATCTTTCGTTTCTATTGCAACAAAAGGGTCTCTTATTTTTTTATTATTGTTACAGTTGCTAGGATTTACTAAAATAAATTAATTTTACCTATTTATCTTTCAGGGGCGTCTAAAAAGGTTGGATAGTGGTTAACTTTCCGCTTATAATTTTGATAACACAAAATAAGTTTTTCAGGCTTCTTAAACTTTGCCAAGAACTTTCAATTTTGTTGTACGTACCTTTCAATAACACCCTGTATAGTATAGATAGACATCTAAAAATAAAAATTTATATAACTTCTTATAGCAAAAATTTTATATATATCAAAAATCTGCTTCGATCGACTTACATCTCTTTCAGGAAAAGTCCTGTAGCCTACTGTTACTAACTGAAATATTATACATGGACAGTAAAGATTTTTAACAGTATACTTTGTAACATACAATTAACGGAAATCGCCGTCAAATGGATACTCGATGTTCAAGTTTTTTCGACGCACTTATTTCCACGTTTTGATTTTCGTGAGCGTTGAGAAGGGTAACAATTGCAAAACTCGGAACATTTCCAGACTGTACATATTCTGACTCTCTGTCTCACTGATTCTTCACGACACGACGAAGAGTACCTGTGGTTTTATCACAAGTTTTTAATTAAACCAGAGAAAACAGATTGGCCAAGTTTCAATTGCGACGTCCACTTAAAAACCATTCGAGCATCGATTACCTACTTGACGTAGTTGTCCTGTTGATTGTACGTTGTAATAAAATGCACTTTCGTATCGTAGGAAAAAAGATAACGCTCGAAAAACATCCACTGTTTACCCACGCCTCAATCAATAATCCGATTCTAATACACCGAATAAACCCAAAGAAAAAAAAAAGAACAGTCAACCTCGCCAAATATTAATTAATTTGTCGACTATCCCCCATCGACCGTCTGTAAGAGTTCCTCTATCAGAATGGTGCCAAAGCGTACATGATAAAACAATATTATACGACACATCTCTACGAATGGAAGCCAAGGAGTGATATCTGTGTACATACTTCGTGTTTGAAACAAGAAAAGAGCATGAATATCGCACAGCGCATTGCCATATTAAATAACAACAATAATAACGACAACAAGAACAACGAACGAAAATAATAGGTATAATAAATATAATATGGCGTGAGAAGCTCGTGTGCATCAAGCGCTGGTCCGGCCACTGACCTGGCCCTAGGGGTAGTAGGAACATGTCGGTTGGGGTTTGGTCAGGAGTGGAGCTCGCACTGTCCGGAGGCGACTGCAAGGGCGTCACGTAAACGCCGGAGGAGCTTTCCGAGTCCCTGTCTTCAGACCCACCACCGCCACCGCCTTCATCCTCGGGCGGTCGCCCACCTGCCCCCACCACCAAACAACCGTCACAAGCACAGCCAAACAAGCACAAGCCGTATACCCCCTTTTTCTATCTACCACCCGACAATTGCTTTCCTTCTGCTGGTACAGTAAACTGACGCTCCAATA